CTGCTGGAAATGTACAAATACCAGCTGCTATTATATGCACTGGTGGAACATTTCAAGAATTTTCTAGTTTTGCTAAAGCTCTAAAATTAAAGTTCATAAGTGAATCATCATTTTACAGCACCCAAGACAAGTTTGTATTACCAGAAATAAATAAGCAATACCAACACCAACAGCTATCTGTGATAAATGATGTAAAGAAACATAATACTCCTGTTGATTTATGCGGGGATGGGAGAGAGCTGACAGTCCAGGCCATAATGCTAAATATGGTACATACAGCATGATGGATGAAGATTCAGGGAAGATAGTCGATTTTGCATTAGTCCAAGTCTCAGAAGTGTCATCGTCAAATGCCATGGAATACGAAGGTTGCAAAAGAACACTAGATAATTTACTTAACAACAAAGTCTCAATACGCTCCTTAACTACTGACCGTCACACTCAAGTAACGGCAAAACTGCAGCAAAACTACCCTACTATCAAGCACCAATATGATGTTTGGCATYTATCCAAATGGGTGACAAAGAAGCTGTCAAAAAAAGCAAAACTCAAGTCAAATAAAGATCTAGAGTCTTGGATTAAATCGATCAACAATCATTTATGGTGGAGTGTGCAAACCTGTAACCAAGACCCCAAAGTTCTTGYTAGTAACTGGGTGTCGATCACCAACCATATTTGTGACAAACATACCTGGAAAGAAGGTAAAACCACTGTATCTTGCAAGCATCAGAAGCTATCTAGACGAGAACGCAAAGAAATTAATTGGTTAAAGCCAGGGTCACCTGCTCACGTAGCACTAGAAGAAGTCATCTGTAATCAGAAGTTTCTAAAGGACATTGTTAAGCTTACTGAATGTCATCACACTGGAAATCTGGAAGTTTTCCATTCTCTACTACTAAAGTATGCACCCARGAGAAAGCACTTCTCATACCAGGGAATGGTTGGCAGAACCCAACTGSCCATTATTGATCATAACAACAACAGCAATCGAGAACAAGCAATTACTAAGAAAGGAGAAGGCCGATATCGTGTGGTTTTTCCAAAGACAAGAAAAACCTGGGTCGCTAAGCCAGTGCTAACACAGACGTCATATTCATTTGTAAACATTATGGTGGATGAAATAGCTGAATGTCACAAGAATAAGAAAACACTGCCAAAAATAAATAAAAAAATAAAAAATAAAAGCTTGGATACAGAGTTGTTCATGATCTGACTAGAAAACTGGTGGGAAAGAACTATCACATATTTGCTGATAATTTTTTCTCATCAGTTACTCTTGCCGAGGACCTTCTAAAGGACGACCTCTACTGCTGTGGAACGGCAAGATCGAATCGTAAAGACTTTCCCGAAGAGCTGAAGGACAAGAAYAAGATCAAGCGCCTTCGCCGAGGAGAGTCTTTATTTTTACASAAAGGCAATGTTGTAGCGACAATATGGAAGGACAAAAAGGCGGTAGCATTTATCAGTTCACACTGTAATGCTACTGGAAACGAAACAGTGAGAAGGAAACAGAAAGATTGCACTTTCATCGAAGTACCTTCGCTTCCCGTAGTCAAGAGCTACAACAAGTATATGGGAGGAGTGGACATGGCCGATCAACTACGACAGTACTATAACACTACTTGAAGAGCAACAAAGTGGTGGCGATACCTATTCTGGTTTTTTATCGATGTAAGCRTTACCAATGCTTATATTCTTATGAAGTTGGCCCCAAACTATCCCACCCTTACACAGCTTTCGTTCCGGATTGAACTGGTCAAATGTTTGATGAATGGCTTCTCCTCTAGCAAGGTTGGTGTAGTTGAAGGTGCTGTCCAAGAGGGMCATTGGCCAGTGAAAATGTCCAAAGGCCGCTGTAAAGTCTGCTTGAAGGGCAAGAGAGTTAAGTTCTGCACGCAAGGATATGAGAAGTGTGGACTGCGAATCTGCAAGGACTGTTTCAAGAACCACAACTTGCACCTATGAGCGCCTTCAAACAAAATGGCGGGAGATT